AAAGCATGTTTCTTTGTTGGTCAGAAGTGAGTCAGACTCTTCCTTCTGGGATAAGTGGACCTCCAGAACTAGGCCACGCATCATCTAATCTCTGCCCTTCTCCTGCACCGACTCAACCGATTATGCATCAGCACTTTCAGCCCTCTTAAATGTGGGAATAGTGAGCTCCATCTCCCTGCTTTATTCCTGCGTGGTTGAGTGTGTCTGAACATAACGCCCCGGTTCCCTGAAGCCCCCCGGGACCCCCATTAGATCCTGACAGCCCGGGTACTCATCCCTGACTTTCTGTCTAAGTTGAAGTCTCCCAGGTCCAGATCCTCTGTCTGTCTGTTAGCAGAGCTGTGGAGCAGATCCCTGCTCATGAGGGGGACTTACATAAGGCAGTTACACAATGATTTGCTCAGTAAAGTAATATTTTCTGTTTCAAGGACATTTGAAGCTTTTAAATCAATTTATAAACCTTGACTTGATTTATTCTGAGTTGTTTCCCTTTTAATCAAAGTTTAGAAATAACCTAGAAAAACACCAAAGTTTGATCATTCAATCCTTCAATATCCTGCTTCACCGTTTGGTTGAGAGCATTTATCAAAGATTACTGGAAATAAATCAGCTTAAAATGTTTAGGTATTTAAAATAAGTCAAAGTATGTGTTATGTTCTTTACTATCGAGAGTCCCTATGATTATTTGACATGAATTCTATTTATTATTCCTAAAATAAATCATAAAAAGCAGATTTAAAACTGCTTATTTTTTATCATCTGTATCCTTCTTGCTGTAATAACCCAATTTTTAAAAACTAACTTTCAGTATCTTCTCTGACAAGCTTCAGTGTTTCTGTTTGAACCTCTAAAGTGTGCATCTAAAACTATATAAATTATAGTTGGGATAGAGGCAAAAGAAGATGTGTTTTGCAGGCAGCCTCATTTTGGGGGATTTTGCTTAGTTATAGACTCCAAATTTATCATTTCCAGGTGAATATGGGTCATTTCTAACAAATCTGGGCTAATTTACATCAGAGAATCATCAATAATATACAAAATTATATTTGTTGAGACAGAAGAAGTCTGGAGAAATCTGGTTTTTAGGGCCAAGCACAGAAACCATGGCTGGACTAACTCGTTCAGAAGCTGTGATGCCACTTTGGGGCCTTTTATTACGATCTCCCCTCCAGCTCTTTATCCAGGACTGTTACCTGAATCTGTTACAAAAGCAGGAAGCTTCACATCAGCTCATCTCAGACGGGCAGAAGGACGATGGACACGTTCTGTAGTTGGACAAGTCCACCTTTCCTCTGCTTCTACTAAGAGAGAAAGAGTTTTAATGACACAATTTAAAGGAAGCAGCTGGGAAATAATGATAAACAGGACGAAAAACCCCAGCTTTTTAAGGATTATAAGGCATCATCATTTTTACATCTCACGTTTTCTGGAACATTTGAAATACAGAATGACTTTGGATGCCTGTTTTTAAAATATAGGTGAGCGAAAACTAAATGAAGCTTGTAAATCTAACTGATTGGCTCCCAGCTCACCGAGTCATTAAACAGTCGGTGAGCTTGTTTTTGAATTATTCATGCACATATGGACGCACTGCTGCAGACACAGCTGAGCTTATTGTTAACAAATGACTGAAACAGTGGAAAATCCCACAGCGATCCACTTTTTTTATAGAGTTCTTACCTTAAAATCTGATTAGCTTTTGAAAATATCAATGTATATACGGTTGAATTAAGAAAAGTGTAATTCTCTACACTAAAAACTAGCCATATATGGAGTAAAATCATCATGAAATGTGTTTCTTATTGCCTGGATTAGCGGATAATGAGGATAAAGGTCTGATAGTTTGACTTGGCCCGGGTCAGGATGAACAGTTGGTGATCTCCAGACAGGAGGCTCCCTGCTGTCACACAGACTGGCTCTGGTTAAAATCCCCTTTCAGAGTCTAACTTTTCTCTTCTGTGGATCGGATGTGACCAAACTCTGTCCTCGCCACACATTTATCTGTCATCTGTGGATGGAAAGGCATCGGTCGCCTTAAATAGGGAAACAAATCCGACTCTAAGCACCAGAAAAGGTACAAAAACAAGAGAAATCCCAGCTGGAAATGACTAAAATGATGGGACTCAGTAGCTGTTTATGGTCTATTTGTAAAAAGTAAACTTAGGTTACTCCCCAATGTTTTTAGGATCCCAAAAGTTCAGAGACTGAAGGTATTTCTCAGGATGAGCGCCCTCTGGTGGACACCCCTGGAGATAACTCACACTTCTGACAGGAATGAGGATTTCTGATTAAAATGTAAATATTACTGATGGCATTATTATATATTTGGAGCTCTACTGTTGTAACAATACTTCAAACCAAAGTGTGAAACAAAGCATAATTTACCCTAAATTAAACCAATAAACCATTAAGTCAACATCATGCTTATGTAAGTGAACAGAGATAATAACAATTAGGTAAATAACTTTTAAAAAAAGGCATTAATTGTGTAATTTTCTATGCTAAAAAGGAGAGGCGTCGCCCCCTGCTGGCTATTTTACAGAGTGCAGGTTTAAAGCTCTTCATACTGGGTTTGTTTAGGAGAAAAAGAGCTACAACCAGTTTCAAAACAGTCTAAAAATAAACAACCCACCTGTAATTTCACTGGTCTACCTCAAACTAATCAACAGGCAGCTCTCACTCCGCTGAGTGTCTGATTTTCTGCTCAGTCTGGTTCATATTAGGAAGCCTCATTAGCAGCCGGCTTCCTCTTCTCTCAGTACTCACCTGTGCACACACACTTATTCTTAAGCAGGCTTTTCTTTCTATCCTTAGCCTTGCCCCTCCTTTCCTCTCGTTTCTCCTCCCTCCCTCCCTCCCTCCCTCCTGATTACCGACTGCCATTTTACCCTGAGAGCCGTGGAACCGCAGACAGAGCCTCCATTTATCCATAAACGCTCACAGCTTCTGGTCTGACCTGGTGGAGTTCCTCTCGTTTCTTCTGAGCTGTCCCACCTCTCTCTGGACCATGTTTCCTCAGTGTGTGAGTAGTTTCAGCTTCAGGTCGCCGGGTTTTAATCGATGGTCGAAACTCGTCTTTACCATTTCATGTGATGTTTGAGAAGTTTCTGAGTCTTAAAATGGGTCTTTAAACGAGGAGAAATGGTAAAATGATCAGGGCTAATTAACAATTTAAATGTAAAACTGACTGGAAATAACTTATTCTGTTTAATTAAGTCTGCCATCTTGTATAATTTCTGTGTTTTTCATAGGCAAAGGGCCAAATTTAGGCTTCGATAAGGTGAAATCTGTGTGAATATGATGCAAACGTATTACTGTGTAGGTATAGAAAATAATCAGAAAAGATAAGGGCCGAAGAAATTACTAGAAGCAGACTGGATGTACATCTACAGTCTCCTAAATCAGTTTTATGGGGAACAGAGAGGGTGCGGATGGGGCTAATAATACAGTGAATTAAGCATTTAGTGTTCAGAAGCTGCAGCCTTACGTGATGCTGGATTAAGACCTTCTCAGCGGGGGGGAAACCTCATTTCTTACCCTGTGGAACTCTGCCTCCGCCCTAATCCTGAACCTTGTTGGTAGCTTTCTTGTTATTTGAACGTAAAAAACAACTGTTTAGGTTTATCCACCATCAACTTAATGTTCCCCCACACAAAAAAAGCCATGTAAAAACAACCTGAACGGGTTTTTCTGAGTCCCACGTCGGCGTAAGTTGCTGCTTTTCCCTAAAAGTGAATCGGTTCAGGTTCTGGATGAGGAGAAGTCGGAGCTAAAGAGGGATTAAGGAGCAGCCGTTTGGCTTCAGGAGCAGAAAACCTGCTTATCCTGCTGATGACGTTCAGCTTTTAACGTCCGAGCGTCAAAAGTTGCTGCTGTTGACCATCAGAAGTGTCAGATTTAGGATTTAGCTGCTTTTTAAAGCTCTTCAGAACACGTTTAATGGACAAATGCCTGTAAACGCGTCTGAAAACCTGCTTTTCAAAGCATAACTATCAACCTGGCAGCTTCTGGGTTTGAGTTTAACCCTATAATACCAAATGTATCATATTTGATACGGTTTCTGAAGTCTTTTGGATCTGAGCCTTTTTGCATCATTCAGAGGTAAAAACTTTGCTCAAACCCCTGTTGTACACATTCAGGTATACCTGATAACAGCCAGTAGAAGACTACACCAAAATACATTCTTGACTTATTGCACGCTAATTTGATCGAAATAATTTCTGTTATTTTTCCTTCATATGTTGTTGAGGGGCCAAAGAAAGACTTCAGACTAAAAAAATCCCGAATTCTTCCTATTTTTCTTGGATTGGGCTTTAAAGGGTTAGATGACGAAAACGTGTGGAACGATTGTTCTCGATGACAAAACTCCCCCCCCCCCCCCCCCGAGGAAGAGGCCATGTAACTCCCTGATATGTGAGGATCCTGATTACCGGGTGTCCTGGATCCCAGGTCAAACATCCTGATTAGGACCGCTGACCTTGTGGGAACGATTAGAAAGCGAGTAGAGAACGCAGAACGAACGCAGCTTACGGCTGTTTTTACCTTACCTTAAAAAGAATAACAAATGATAGACTTATAATGTTTGAACATTATGTATAAGACAGTATAAATGCAACAAGTACAGGTAGATTAGTGTTAAATAAACCACTTAATACTAAGGCTGCTTTAATTTTGCACTACTCAAGTCGCGTTTATTTAACCCTGTAATGCCAAATGTGTCATATTTGATTCATACGTTTCTGAAATGTTTTGCGTCTGACACCTTTTGCATAATTTAATGGTAAAAACTTTGCTCAAAATCCTATTGTACACAATCAGATACACCTGATAACAGGGGGCAGAAGACTACACAAAAAATAATCTAGACTTATCGCATAGTAATAAATGATTAATATTAAAAATGTATTTCTTGTCTTTTCTTTTTACATATTTTGTTAACTCATTGACTGCCAGCCATTTTCAGAACAGAGAGTCCCATACTGCCAGAGTTTTTTGAGCATTTTGACTGATTTTTCAAGAGCCACAGAATAGTTTGTGCTGTGACTATGTAAACACCGAACACACCAAAAGAAAGAGTAGACTCTCTTCTTTCATGAGGGAAATTTTTTTTGTTTCTACCTTATTCCGTTCTTCCTGGACTTGCGTCTCACCGGCGACATGTTCTCTCATAGCGAACCGTTACCTTTTTCTTATTTGCCTACAGTCTATGCTCACCTCCCATCAAAAGTGGCACTGCCACCTAGAGGGTCAATTTGTTACTACACACTCTGTCTAGAAGCCTGATATTTACGGACAAGCTTTAGCAGATCGTCCCCCAGCCACTCTCGTTGAAAAACATAAAAGACGTCTATAGACGTCTTTGGCAGCCAATGAGTTAATATAAAAAATGTATTTCTGTTTTTTCTTTTTACATGTTTTGTTAAAAGGCCAAATAAGGAATTCAAACAATAAAAAAAAAGTAATTTTCTGTTTTGTTTTCCTCTTGGATCAGGCTTTAAAGGGTTAATAAGCCTTGTGTGTGTGTTTTCCGGTGCTCTTTAGGTGGATGTGAGACCACAGCATGACTTCGGTCCAGACGGGACTGTGGGAGCCCCGACCCCCGTCTAAACATGCCTCGCTGCCCTCTGCTGCCTCCCATGTGACCACAGCCCTCCCCGCCAAGAGGATCACCTTCTACAAGAGCGGAGACCAGCAGTTCGGGGGCGTCAGGATGGCCGTCCACAAGCGCAGCTTCAAATGCTTCGACGCCCTGCTGGACGACCTTTCCCAAAAGGTTAGCTTAGCGCCCCTTTGAAGCTCTGAGGCTTTGCCTGGAGACTAGAGATCCGATCCCGATCCCGGCCTATCAGAGCATGTGTTAAAGTTTAAAGTTATTCATTTACTTACTTACTTACAGCCGCCGCGATCCCTCCAGATCATCCAGAATAGGGCCTGCAAAGGAAGGCTGGATTTTCTTTTAGCATAAAAAATAATTTCCCTGTGGGATTATTAAAGTAATTCTGATTCTGATTCTGAATAAATATGGATTGACTCCACAAAGACTAGGGATGTCCAGATCCAGCTATTTGTACTTCCGATCAGACCCTGATCCCGGCCTATCAGAGCATGTGTTAAAGTTTAAAGTTATTCATTTACTTACTTACTTACTTACTTACAGCCGCCCCAATCCCTCCAGCTCATCCAGAATAGGGATGCTACAAGCTTCCTGCAGCCTGCAAAGGAAGCCTGGATTTTCTTTTAGCATCAATAAACATCGATTGACTCCATAAAGACTAGGGATGTCCCTATCAGAGCATTTATTAAAGTTTAAAGTTATTTATCTACTTACTTAGTTGTCAGACTCATGGTGAACAGGGATTTACTCTGATAACTAGCCATCTGAGATAGATAGATAGATAGATAGATAGATAGATAGATAGATAGATAGA